GCCTCCCCTCACCACGGGCCGCCGCACGCGGGCCCTGGACGCCGTGTTCCTCCGCCGACGCCGCCGCGGGGACAAGGGGAGGCCTCGCCGCCAGGCCACTTTACGGAGTTATATTCTTGGAGGTGGGGTCGTGGGGGGAGCCCCGCTCGGGAGGTGGTTCGCCGTCCTCTCCCCCGCGCCCACGTACGCGTGAAAGCGCAGAGATCTCGCTAGGCTCGTCACCCCCTCCTTGCAAGCAGCCTTTCTCCTCTCCTCCCTCCCTCAGCCTTCCCATCGTTTGTGCTTCCTGCTTCAGTGATGAGCAAGTCGGCGTTCTCAAAAGCAGTAATGTTTTCTCTCTTCTGAAGTCCTTCAAAACTAGAGTGCTTCAAAACTTCTTGTTTGGGGGGGATGGGGGGCTTGTTTGAGGTTTTTCTGTGGCAGCAGGTACCTATTCCAGAAATTTCAAGGGGTTTCAGTGATTGCCTAGAGATGCAAATTTTATCGCAGCATTGTTTCTTTAACGATATGAGGAAACTGGTTGGTCCTGCTTTCAGGCTGGGTGTTTTGTACTCTGAGTCATGCTGTACAGTCCAACCGACTTGATCTAAATAAATTTGCAAATGCCATATTTTTCGGATGAGCAAGTAGCCAAAGCACTGTGGGTAATAAGTCCTGCTCGAACCTGCAAAAATAGGGCAATTCCGGGCCGGGGCTTAAGCGCGTGGAGGCCGTGAAACGCGCGCTCTTGAGGTGCGCGAGGGCACTCTGTGCTGGCTAAGTTGGTTCCTTTTTGCGTGGGGAAGGAATTACATTGCGTAAAGTGATGTTTCAATTGAAGTAGCTTCTTGATAGTCCGGGTCATCTGAGAGACTGCTTTTTCTTACTCTCCAGCTAAATTGCAAGGTTTTTTCATCTTTATTGCACCTGGTGAGGTCAGATGGCGCGCTGCTGCCTTTCTGTGTTTAGCGTGTTAGGCATTTCAGGAGAAACATGAATTTTGTACAGAAGTTCAGTCCTGTGCTTGTGCTCACTGGTAGGTAGGTGGGTGTTGGCTAAAGTCAGTGGGAGATGAGTGAGAAGATTTGGGTGTGAGTTTAGAAGATCTTTAGCCATAACTTTTTATGCTCGGTTCTTTATAGCTGTTTCCACACACCTTGCCTGTCAGAGTTTTGTGAGGAAACACCCGCCCACAAACATCCCATGTTTTGCTTGCCTCTGTTTCATGTTGTTTCTTACTCTCCTGCTCCTTTTTTCTACATTGGCTAGTAAAGACCGAATTTAGCCCAATTCTTACTTGGCTCAATTTAACAGATGGCTAATAATGGTGTTGACAGCATTTAATTTGTTTCCTTTTCTCACCCTTTCAAGAATTATTTTATGCTGCCTTAGCGTGTTTTACCAGGGAAGGATAACCCCATTGTTTTTGGTTTTAAGAACAGAATATGAAGTTACACGTGGGAAATGATGGGGCAAAAGTTAACCTAATAACAGGAGAGACAAGGATAAAAAAGCCCTCATCTGAAAGCATAATTGAAGGCATTATGTCAAGGATTTGGCAGGAAGGGGATGAGGAAGGACTGCCCCCTCCAAACCAAGTTTCTATTAGTAGTGGTACCATTGGTGATTACAACAATTATTTGATTCAGTAAACTAAACAGGGAAAATGCAGTGTGTCTAAATTCCTGCTCTGTTTCCAGGACAAAACTGCAGTCCGGGTTCTTACGTAGACTTGTTGTCTTGATACAGAATGATGAGGGGTTGGGGTAATCTGGAAAAAGGAAAAAAAAAAAAAGTGGAAACTGTGCTTGCTTCAGGACTAGAGCTGGTTCTTTCCCAGTGCTCTCCAGAGCCAGCTGGAGGAGGGCTATGGCTCAGCAGCCTAGAAGTGGCATGCTGAGCTCCTGGACCACAGCTGTCTCTCTCATTCACATTGATGTGAGACTTTAATGATGGAGCTAAATCAGATTACAGAGATCTAGCCCTGTCCCTCACCCTGTGGCGGGGATCTTTGATCCATCTCCAGGTAATTTTACAGTAAGTAATAGAAAGCTGGCTATATCAAAGCAGCAAAAGATGGCTGTGCCATTTGATGTGGATACAGAGTAATTTGAAACAAGCTTATTCTCCTTTACATGGGTGTCTTCCCTTGTTCAGAAATAATTTTTTTTCTAATTCTTTTTCATCTCAGGAATCTTTTGATGATGCATCACCAGGAAAACAAAAAGAAATCCAGGAAGCAGATCCTACATACGAAGAGAAAATGGTATGTAATATTTGGGACTGTGTACAGCTGTCTAGTAGTTCTGCACTTGCTTAAAATAGACTGAGTTTTCTGCTTGTTTGAAATCTCATGACTGGATTTATAAAACTTTGCCTAGTTATTAAAAAAATATTTAAGTAACTTGAAACCAAAAAATACCCAGAAAAAAACCCTCAGACCTTTTTCCTTTGTCGCATTTTTTCGCTGGTCCTCTGCTCTTTCTCTATATCCATTGCAGTCATTTGTGGGAATAACTGTTGATGTGTTTTGCTGTTTCTAGGAAGTATAGTCCTAACAGCTTTGAGGTGCTCTAGATTTAGAAGAATGAGATAATGGGAAATACTCAAATGTCCGAGGGGAAAAAATGTCATTAAAAAGTTGTCAAGTTGCTTTTGAAGTTATTTGTAGAGTTGTCCTTCCTGTAGGCAAGGGGGACTATGAGGGGCTGAGTATTTATGTTCTTGGTCAGAAATGGAAAAATGCTCTAGGAAAGCATCCCTAAGTATTTAAATGGCTGCTACCTTACTTTTTCAATTGTATGGAATCAATTGAAGTCTAGGACCTTTCTTATATTGCTGTTGAATACAGGAAAGTAATTCCAAACTTACTTTTGAACTGCAGGAGCAGCGGTTCTTTGTAGGAAAAGTATATTAATTTCTATTGGGGGGTGAGCAGTAAAAAGAAAAGTTTGACATAAGGCTTTGAGTAGGCACTGCATTCATTTTCAGTGGAAATATGCTATAGTAGGACGACTTCAAAATAGGCAGATTCTTTCAAACAGCACAGTTTACGGGTCAAAGTAAATAAAAGTTAGCTTTCAAAATTCACAGGAAGCTGAGGAAGGATTTGCTGTTTAGGACAAACACTGACTGTAAGTCTTGGCCAATTTTTCTATCTTTTTACTTTGTTTAGACTGAATGGGATTTTGTTAGCTTTTTCTGAAATTTAATTTGTTCTCTGTGAAGCTCTAGTTAGAGTCCTAGAACTTTTGAAGATGGGTGATTCTGTGTTTCATGGGTTAGGAGAAAACTTACTGTTTTCCTTATTTTATTAGTTTTTATAATATCCTGAACGTAAGAGATGGAGCCGTCCACTCCTCACCATCTCATCAGGTTTTCTTTCTCTGTTCCTCCCTGTTTGCCTTCCTGTTTGTAATTCCAGTGTCTGTGACTGCATGTGGAATTTCTTCATAGGAAAGTGAAAGCGGTTCTTATAGTTTGCTGCTTCCTGTGTTGTTTTTTCTTGCTGCTGAAAATAACCCAGTCATCTTCTGCTAATTTCCTTGTGCTACTTACTGGCAAACTGAAGAAAGTGAGCTTGGGGTTGTCTCTTCTAGTCTCTAGGCAGGCATGACTACAAGGAAGAATGTATTTTACTGTTGGAATAGTCAGAAGATGTGCTGGAAAGGATAACAGGAAAAGTTGCTCTGTTGGTAGGAGGATAGCTCAAGGTTGCCGAGTACAGCCTGTTCTTGTCTGTGTCCTATCTAAAAGATACAGATAATGTTTGTTAGTCTCTTAAAGGAATATCCTTAAGCACAATGAAAACTAGTTGTGGTGATGTGTGTGCAGTGACAAAACTTGCAGAAGATTCTTCTAAAATTTTAGAGCAAGGAAGCTTTTGCAGTGGCCTTTGTATCTCTTCTCTTTTGCACAGCCAGTGAACAAGTACTTAAAAATAAGGATCAGCAACATGGATAGCACTAATGACTTACCTAGTTTAAACTCTAAAAGCTGTTACGAAGTAAACAAAAAAACATCCTATGAAGAATAGACAGGAAGACTTTAATTCAGTGGATGTGGATTGTAGCTGTGTCAATCAAGCTTAAACTACAGTTAGAGCGAGTCTGACTCTCTTCTGGTACATACAGGATCTCTTTTCTTTGCCTCTTTCTTCTCTCACCCCCTGTCTTCCTGTCTTTTACATAGTGCAGGGACTGCTTGCTTTAAAGAGGAGAACACTCACAGAGCTGGCATTGCTCTTGCAGAAGTCTGGAACATATGTTCCTTCTTACTAAGAAAATTTACTTCCTGTAACTGCGCAAGTTGCTAAATACCAGGTTATGTTGTGGCAGCTGGCAGAATGTCAGAGTGGTTGCTGTTAAGCTTGGAACTGTTTTCTGTCTTGATTGTCTGTTCTGAAGTCTTGATGCGGCCGTGGGAAGGTGTCTTAATTCCAAATGAAGCCTGTCTCAAAGGAACCGAACCTTTTAGATACTAATATTGTCTCCTGTAATCTTTTTTGCACAGCAGAAACAGCAACTCATATCAAAGGGGGCAGCCTGACAAGTTAGGCTGAGCATATCTAAGAGGTCTCTGCTGCTGAAATAGGTGTTCTGGCTTGTAGCTATGGGCTCTTCTGCCTTCTCCACCCGCTTTCATGCCGGCCCTTTTGCTTATCTGACACTGCAGTGAGGTGGTGTATGTCACTGAGCAGGCTGGAAACTAATGCGGTAGAAAATAGTTGTTGCCAGGTTGGTGAGATGAATGAGTTCATTGAAGAATCCTGTGCATGCTGTGTGGGGGTAAATTTATGGGAGCGGGACTATCATTTTTGATAGGAGAAGGTTGTTAAGGGGCCTCTGGCCATGTCTAGTGACACTCGTGCAATATCTGTGCCAAAGTCAGATTGCAATCATAGCTCAGGACTGTCTTGCAACTTTGATCTTACTGAGTAGCAAAGGCTAGCCTTGACCCAATGAAAGAATATTGAATCTGTCAGCAGCGGTTAAGTTATTGATTTAATCATCTCTTCTTTCTTATTGTAGGTATGTATATAAAGAAATGTGATTCTATATTGTTTAAAAAAATTTGTTAGTTTTTTCTTTTGAATGAATGCATACTGTAACGTCTCACACTTGTTCCACTTAATTTTCCTTGTCAACAGCAAACAGACAGAGCAAACAGATTTGAGTATCTGTTGAAGCAGACTGAGCTGTTTGCTCATTTCATTCAGCCTGCTGCTCAGAAAACTCCAACTTCACCTTTGAAAATGAAGCCTGGACGTCCACGAATAAAGAAGGATGAGAAACAGAATTTACTGTCAGTTGGCGAGTGAGTGATGACATGTAGGCCAGCTTGTACTGTAATTATGGATTTTATTGTACTTTAGAAGTGTAAGTTAAACTTGCTCGTCTTTTGTCCTAATTGGGTGTGTGTTTTATGCTGTGTAATTGTGGGTTTTTGTCAACTGCCCACCTGTTAAGTTGAGGGTTCTGTAAGAATTGTAGGAGTTACAAGAATTTTGTGTTGGTGGTGATTCATGATTTAATCATCATTAAAAGTATTCTGGCATGAAGAAAAGTGGGGGCATAAAAGTAGAGCATTTGTGGCAGGAAGCTGTAAGAGTTCATGGAGAACGTCAGTATACAGCATCTTACAGGTAGCTTGAAAATCAGAAACCTAGAAATTTGGATTGCCTTCATTGCAGCTTGTATGGCTACAGTATATCTAGCATTTGGCAGATGTTCCAGACCTCTTATATACAGTGTCATTCCCTGTCTTACAGGTAAAGGCCAGTACTGATACACACAATTTATCCCTTTCCAGTCACTTTGCTCTAATGTTTGAGCCTGTTAACAACATGGTCATCTTATTTTATTAAGAAGCTAGTGGGTCTAAAGAGTTAAAAAGCAGCATTTCAGTTGATCAGCTAAACAGGAGTTCTTTTGAAGAATCTTGCAAGAAGCTTCTTTAGGTGTTTGCATTCTGTACTGCAATGACATTAGATTTAATTTTGGAACAGTTTCGTATCTTTTCAGTTGAGCCAGAAACTTACGTACGTACTTGTACTTTTTCAGCTACCGTCATCGTAGAACAGAGCAGGAAGAAGACGAGGAGCTGTTAACAGAAAGCTCCAAGGCAACTAACGTCTGCACTCGATTTGAAGAGTCTCCATCATGTGTGTTTCCTTTCCCTCCCGCCCTGTTCTTTTCCTTCAAAATGTTGTTTAAAATGAAGTTTATTTTCATCCTTCCCAAGGAAAACGAATCAATATTGGGGGACAGGAGAAGGAGAAAAAAAATCCAGCACCAGTCTCATGGGACAAAATGTGTTAGCGAGGGACTGTTTATTTTCAGTCAGGCTATAAAGATGGTCCAGTGAGTCTTGTCCTTTACAAATCCAGTTGCTATACTTCAGTTACTAGGAAAGAGCTAGCTGTTTCTAAGTCTGTCATCTTACAATTTTTACATATGTAACCTATCTTCTTGTAGAATTTAAAGTACCTAACAGCTTCCAGTTTATTTAACAGAGAATTCAGTATTCTGTTGTTTGAACGTTTGACTGTGTTCTGATTTGGGGGCTGGTGATAGCATTTCTACATGTTTTGGGTTGTTGCAGAAAACAAAGCTGTTGGAGCAGCTTGCAGAAACAAAATTAACATGTCGCTGTCTCCAATCTGCATTGTCCTTGGAATTTACTGCATGAAATGTATTACTTGATTTTATTCAGTAGCTTAGATAATTGGTGTCGGCTAGTAGGCAAGGGATGGTGAAATTCTTTGGTAAGTTTTTACAGATCTTTTTAGTCTATTCTTTCATGTCTTTTAGATGTTAAATGGGGAAAGCTGCGTGATTATCAGGTGCGAGGATTGAACTGGCTCATCTCTCTCTATGAAAATGGCATCAATGGTATCCTAGCAGATGAAATGGTATGCCCACAGCCCATGTTTCTGGGGACTTGTGAACACATGCTATCGCATACATTTTTATTTCAGCTATATATGTGTTTTTTCTAATAGCACTAAATGTAATATATAATTTGTCAAATCTTATTTTTCTAGTATTTAGTTTTAAGTCACTAATGTTAAAAGTGTCACAGGTCTGTTAATTTAAATAAACTGTGCAGGCAGTTTTAGAACTTGGCATACAAAAAGAGAATCTGTCAACCTTTAGAGAAATAAAATTTGGTGGAGGGGAGTTGTTCTATAGAATGACGTGTCCTCTATTCTTTCCTCCAAACTGCCACTATTTTCTTACGGTATTCTCAAGCTGCCCTTGTGAAGAGAGTGTCATATATGAAAAGAGCAACAAATGTGGGAGTGCTTCTTGTTGTTGTTGGGGTAAAATGCAGATAACAGGATACGTATGTCCCATGTGGACGGATCTCAGCAGCAAGAGCTGCGCTAGTGGGCAGTTTTCTGGGAAGAATGATGCAAAGATAGGTGTAGCTAGAGAGCCGTGTTAAAATTTCTTTCACACCATGACCATGGACACTTGAGTCAGCACTGGCCATAGTAGCTTTTGCTTCTGTTTTTATTCTTTTTCCCTGAAAGACACGGGATGAATGCAGAAGAAATTGTATTAGTTTGACAGGCAGGTATATTTTTGTCTTTTAAGTTATTTTAGTTGTATCTGTTTTTCATAAGGAGCAGATAAGGAAAAACAAAAATCTAACTATATTTCAGTATATTTCATTTCTCATACTTCCTGGTAATTTCTGTGCAATTAAAGTCCCATGAGGTAAAATAGACAAATGAATTTAAATTATCATTTAGTAACATGTTTAGTTTTGAAATAGATCAAGGATTTTTTTCAACGTACATGCTTATGAATAGAGGAAATTTTTTTTTTCTGAGTGCAGTAGGCTTATTTTAACAAAAACGGCTGGGAAACTGTATAAGTCCTTGGATTTCTGGTATTCCAAAATCCGTCTTGCGTTTAGGAGTGTAAATATTTACTATTAAATATTAATCCTTTTGAACTTGTTAATGCCTTTCACACAGCTTGTAAACGCTTTTCCACATCTTACACCAGGTGGAACGTGGTTATTTTGAAGACAAAGACTTGAAATTTAGAAGCAAAAATAACTTGCACTGATGGTTTTTGTTTTTTTTTTAATCTCGTATGTTTGAGTCATAATATTTTTTGAATTATTGAAATTACATGAATGATCTGGTTTTTGCATGTCTTCCTCAGTTTTGTTTTAATTAAAATTATACGCTGAAGACACAAGGTTTTAAATATTTGTTGAATAGAGAACAGAGCACTTAAAAAAAGTATTTCCAAAGAAGCTCAGTGTTTGTTTTCTTCTTTGACATATGCAGCTGTTTACATTTATGTTTGGCTTTCTTCTCACAAGAACTGACATCACGTCGTGGCCTGTGAAAACCTTACAGGGTTCTTAATTTATTCACTTTATTTCAAGTTTCAGAGAAGCATATGTCCTGTTTGTAAAGTTCGTTGACCTCTAAATAAATAATCTGAGCACACCCTAGTCTACAAAACAAAATTTTATGCAATAATGTTTTCTTGCACTTCTAAGAATGTGTCTTATTTGAAAGGTAGGGCAAAATTCCAACTTCATGATCCAAGGTTTAATTAAATATGGGAAGCCATACAAGCTTTTCCTAACCAAGATTTTGATGCCTTTTGTGAGTAGCGCTGTCTTTAGTATATCTCACTCCTTTGTTCAGGCTGCTGTGTCTTCTATGTACGTACTGTTGGGGTTTTTAAAGGTGTTTCTTGTAAGAGAGATGTTTTTTCTGACACGTTAATGTCTCTTACAGGGTCTCGGGAAGACACTGCAAACAATTTCTCTTCTTGGGTATATGAAACACTACAGAAATATTCCTGGCCCTCACATGGTGTTAGTTCCAAAGTCCACTCTACATAACTGGATGAATGAATTCAAGAGATGGGTACCTACACTTCGAGCAGTTTGCTTGATAGGTGACAAAGACCAGCGAGTAAGTTTTGATGTGGTGGGGTTTTTTTGTGTCAATCCAGCACGTGATTTTGCTGTCCTTTACCTGTCGTTCACAGGGGGGGGATATTACTTGGATTTGTAGTGGTTAAACAGTAAGACCTACAAGTGCTACCTACTTAAAAGATAACCAGCTTAGAACTCACATGTGTGTTGCCCAGCTATTGCTTCATCACTTTACCCTCCTAATTTCTTAACCAAAGGTTCTCTCTCTCTCTCCTTTTGTGAAAGCAATACACTGTGTAGACCAGCAAAACCTGATGAATTTTAAAATAGGAAAATAAAGTGTTTCATGTACAGTGCTGTCATTTATATGAATATATGAGTTTGTAAAAAAGTAGTTTGTTTTCTGCTCTGCGTAGTACAGTATGTTCTCTTGGCTCTAACAGCAGCTCTTAAGAGGATTATGGGGTCTGTCACCTAAGCTGTTTTCTGAAAACAGTTGTCAGCTTAATGTTGGGAGGCGGCAAGGTGGGTTGGTTGGTTGGTAGAAGTGATACGCAAGTGGATCTTAATTTGGCTTGAATTTTGTCAATTAAAAGAGAAAATACTGTTCAGCCTCCTATGTATGGCCTTAGCATTTCAGTCATTCTCTTTTTGTTACTTCAGTATCAGTTCTTTGCTGCTTGTTTTTTTAGTGCAGCAAAGAAAATTTAAAAAACATGGAATATGATGGCACACTTGTAGGTTTGCCAACTGTTAGATTTGCGGAGTTACCCGTTTATTTATCGAAGGAAGAGTTATTACTGGTGACATTAAACTTCTGCTTTTGTCAGCAGATTTTTTTTATTTTAAGGTCATCTAGCTCTATTTTCAGAGTTTGCTGGGCTAGAAATTACAGAAATATTGATGAAAAGTGTAAATAGTTCTGGGGGCCATTGGTTCAGGTCGGATATTTTGTGAGGGTTTTATTGCATTTTTTTTAATTGAAAGTTTCTTCAGTATATTTCTTGCTATGTGAGTTAAGCTCCTGACATTTATACCTCTCTGTATTTTGAATTCTAATTACTCTTTCCACTTTTAGCCTTGGATGTCAGTGTTCTAGAAATTGTTCAGTTAGCCAAATAAAGCTGTGCTTGGGTTTACTTTTTGTATTCAAAAACTACCATTTTCTAAACATTGAAAAAAAAAATACAAAGCAAACCTACAGAAAATTAATTTTGAGTTCTCATCTTACAGTTCAGATACTGAAAACCTCATGTGTATAGGTAGTCATTTCCAGTTTCCAAAGCAGGAAGCTGAAATCCCTTCACTGCTCCGCCCCAAGGGTTTTAGCAGCTTCAGCACTGACAAAATTGTCAAGCTTTGCAATGGTTGTATGTTATAAAAATTTTATAAAAAATGTTTTAAAATTTTAACAGTACTAGGGCGTTCTTTTTGGTTTAGATATGACAAAGTCTCAGTAACTTAACTGTCACCTTGTTGTCTAGGCTGCCTTTGTCAGAGATGTGTTGTTGCCTGGAGAATGGGATGTCTGCGTAACATCATACGAAATGCTTATCAAAGAGAAATCAGTATTCAAAAAGTTTAACTGGAGATATCTAGTAATAGATGAAGCCCACAGGATTAAAAATGAAAAATCAAAGGTAATTTGTACTTTCACAGAAAGAGACATTCGTGTGGGTTATTAGGTGGTGGTGTGGGGATTAGCAGTATTTTTATATTTGCTCGTGTCTCAATGTCTTTCAGTTATCAGAAATTGTGAGGGAATTCAAGACTACAAATCGGCTGCTATTAACCGGAACTCCACTTCAGAACAACTTACATGAACTCTGGGCACTTCTTAACTTCCTTTTGCCAGATGTCTTTAACTCATCTGAAGTAAGTCTTTATTTCTGCTAATCAAATTAAATGAACTTTGCTGGTTTTCCAGATTTGAAAATAGACCTGAATATGTGTAGTTAGCAGTATCAGTTACCGATAACGATAGATTGACAGTTAGAACTGTTTCTAGAATTGTGAAGTATAGTAGGGTAGACTATTTTTTTCAGCTTGGCCATTTTTAAGGGCTGTGGTGAGCTTAGCAGCTATAAGAGGTATTTAAAATGACAGCGTGAAGATGATCTCTACTGCGGTTCAGAATAGGTTTAAATATTGTGATGGCTAAACCAACTAACTTTGTTCTTATATTTAACTATAAGTTACCTGGCTGTTTATCTAAGACTTCTTTTCTGTGAGTTGGGACATACTGTATAATGAGCAATAGACTTCACAAAGTGAAGCGTATGCTTAACTGCTTCAGTGGTGAATTGGGAGTGTAACGTCTGTAGAAAGCGAAGCCTTTTGGTGCATGACACCAAAATTCTACTCCTTCCGTTTCATTTTTCATCAAATGCCGCGATAGTACACTTCTTCCAGATGGAATTTGTCCAATGGAGTAATAAGAGTGAATCTTTTTCAACAGAAAGGGACTTGCATATTGAATTTTTTTTTTATTTTTTTCCCCTTCCAATGGTACGGAGGGGAGTTTTTTTGTTGTTGTTTTTTTGGAAGATGATGCATTATAGCTTTCCGTAGAAATAGACCAAAAAGGGTAATTTGTTTTTTTACTTACTGCCTATGTAAGAGTATCACTTGAGTTGTATTTCTTCACCATTGTAATGACATCGCACCTTGAAAGGAAACCTCTTACATACCACTGATTTTGTTGATACAGGACTTTGATTCATGGTTTGATACAAACAACTGTCTAGGGGATCAAAAGTTGGTGGAACGTCTCCATATGGTAAGTCTTCTGATTTTTGTCGAAGTGTTACATTTACCTAAATTAGGTTCTAAATAATTATTCTAACGCTTGTTGTGACAGAATATTAGGGTAAGTTAGCTTATTCCAGAAACTATGGTAGACTTTCAGAATAGGTTGGTGGAGCTCAGAAGATGATCTGTTTCTTGAAAAGGAAATTGTTTTGGAGGGGAGAGAAGGGTCGATAGTTCTGTCTTTCAGGGTTCTGAAGTGCTTAGAGTAGAAATAATGGATCTGAACAGGTGATAAATACTTCAGTCAAGCAAAATTTAGAAAGAATCAAGGGGCATAGAACCATCTGAAAGATGCTTTTGGCCTAATCTTAGTCTTCCAAAGAAAGGGTGTGTATATATTCCCATGTACAATAACCTGTTCATGTAGATTGCTTTTTCAGATGATCTGGTAATAGGTGTGGTGGTTGAGCATTTACGATAGAGGATATCTGCACTGCTATAGTCGGTTGACCTGTTCAGTATTTCAGTTTCCAAAATATGTTTAATGATGCAATCTCTTTCAGGTGCTACGACCATTTCTGCTACGTCGCATTAAGGCTGATGTAGAGAAAAGCTTGCCTCCAAAGAAGGAAGTTAAAATTTATGTGGGTCTCAGCAAAATGCAACGAGAATGGTAATTCACAGACTTGACTGTGCAGTGGTTAAGGCTTGGAAGGAACGTGCTGCTTGTGACTTGGTTGTTGCGTGGAAGTTGATTTAATTCCTTCTGGTGTACTCCCAACTCATATGTATTTCCTTGTGATGCTTTTGTGATGACAAAAACCATGCATGTCAGGGAGAGTTACCCCATGAACTGAGGGGGGGGATGGACTTTTGACTGCACTTACCAGTTAAAGAAAGGCCCACCTTGTGTTAGAGTTACAAAAGTTTTTTCTGTCTTTGTTAGGTATACGCGAATCTTAATGAAGGATATAGATATATTGAATTCAGCTGGGAAGCTGGACAAAATGAGACTGCTGAATATTCTCATGCAACTGCGAAAGTGTTGCAACCATCCGTATCTCTTTGATGGAGCAGAACCTGGTCCACCTTACACAACGGATATGCATTTGGTCACCAACAGTGGCAAAATGGTAGTATTGGACAAATTGCTACCTAAGTTAAAAGAACAAGGTATGCATCTTGTCGTCGTGTTTGGTTCAACGATAAAAATGAAAATCAGCGCTGCTTAATGTTTCCATGTATCCTGAGTGAAAAACGGCACACTTTAGCTAGGATTATTTTTGGTTTCCAGCATGATACCAGCTTGTCAAGAACTGTATCTTAAGTAATTGATACAGAAACAATTTGTGAAGTGCTTTCATAAATAATTGGACCAATAGTTCTTTATGGCTTTTTGTGATGGTGAAGGGTTTTGGTTTTTTTTTTTTTCATCCCAGCTAAATTGAGACCACAGAAGTATCAGTTGGTCTGGGCTTTAGGTTTTCTTTCTTAGCATTACTAGCTGTTTGAAACCTAATCGTGCGGTATTTTAGCCTCTCCTTTGGTTTGCCGTGAAGTACCACTTCAGATTCAAAGTCTTCATGTAGGGTTGAAGTCAAGTCCTGTGTGAAATGTTGGTCTTTCTCGCTGGATATGATTTTGAGCAACACCTGAGTTTTTTTCAGTGAATTCTCTAAGGTGTGGAAACATGGAGGAACACTCAGTTATTGTAGAGTTATTTGGTAGCAGGCACAAAGCTCTGGAATGCATTACCGTAAAACTCAGTTGCCGCAGAATTTTTGACTCTGGAATAAATTTTTAACTCATTATTTTAATGAGTATGCTTACAGAAGTAACTGGGCTAACGGAGCGAAGAAGAGTTTGTTACTGGGGAGGCAGTGCAGAAAAATAAAACCAAATCCAAACCTTAGCCTTAGGTAATATAAAAGTAACCTGAACTGAGTATCCGAGTATCATTCAAGCAGCTGTGGTGATATGTGTCACTGTAAGACTAAAAAAGAAAAATTCAGTGGGTACTGTGCTTTTTTTTTTATATTGGTTTCTTTCTGCTATTGAAATAAATTGCCTTGATCTTAAATCAAATGATCATCTTAAGCAAAAGAGTGTTCCTTATTAGACCTTGAGTCGAAAGGGCGGGGGGGGGAAAGATACTAGGAGAATATAGATGGAAGTGGAAGCTCTGTAATATTCTGTGTTTTACTTAAATCTCTTAAGTAGGTGGGAAATGGTTGTATGTATATGCGTAAGTCACTGTACTTTTACGTTTTTTTGGAGGTTGTTGGCAGGTAAGTAAACTGACAAGTTTTTAAGACGACAAGTCTTTATACTCCTTGATGATTTTATATTTGTGTTATCATCGTACTCTGCGGTGTCTGGGAACATTTTGATAAGGAGTATGACAAAACAAAAGCAAAAAGGCAGCCCCTAACTAGACTCGAGTACACAGTAAGGCAAGCAAGGCCCTTGGCAAGCACAGGAGCCTGCCAGTTAGTAGCTAAACAGCTATAACAGCCATGAATTTGGTGTAGCACACTCTAGTCATGTCTGCTGTTATCTGGAACCCTTCAAGCCCCACATTGGCCACCAAAAAGGACTGTTGCAGTTTAGCCCCAGTAGGCAGCTAAGCCCCACACAGCCGTTATGATAGCAGCGGCTGCAGCCCTGCGTTATATATTGGGTTCTGAAATTCTAAGTACTTTTCTTCTTAGTACATGGAGCTGCTCTCCTTCCTCTTCTGGTAACACAAACTTGCAGGGTTTTGATAAATCTCAATTTTTGGTGAAAGCATAAAAGGAAGCTTTTTACCCAAACAGGTTCAAGAGTCTTAATCTTCAGTCAGATGACTAGAGTCCTAGATATCTTGGAAGATTACTGTATGTGGCGAAATTATGAGTATTGTAGACTGGATGGACAAACACCGCATGATGAGAGACAGGTATTTAAATTTTTAAGTATTTCACTTAAGTAAAAGTTGTACTTGTAAAACATTTGGTTCAACTGATATGTTCCTTTTATTTATTTAGGCATCTATTAATGCATATAATGAACCTGGTAGCTCAAAATTTGTGTTCATGTTGAGTACACGGGCAGGAGGTCTTGGAATCAATTTGGCTACTGCTGATGTTGTAATTCTGTATGATTCAGACTGGAATCCACAAGTAGATCTTCAAGCTATGGTAAGAATCCAGCCGGAAGTTGCGTTCTTTTTTTCTTCTCTTTCTCACAGAACTTTCTTAGAAAGGTGTGGGTGGCATGATACAGTATTTCCAAAATAAATTGGTATTTTTCGTGTTTTAGGACAGGAGTAATACTGTAAGACTGATTTTTCAGTTCCAGTGCAGCTTCCGCTGTGTGGAGCCCTTAATCACATTTCGGATATTGTTGTGGTTTAACCCCAGCCAGCAACTAAGCCCCGCACAGCCACCCGCTCACTCCCCGCCCAGGGATGGAATGGGGGAGAATCAGAAAAGTGAGAAAACTCGTGGGTTGAGATAAAGACAGGTAAAGCAAAAGCCACGCACGCAAGCAGAGCAAAACAAGGAATTCGTTCACCACTCCCCATGGGCAGGCAGCTGTTCGGCCATCCCCAGGAGAGCAGGGCTCCATCACGTGGAACGGTTACTTGGGAAGACAACTTGGGAAGACAAATGCTGTAACTCTGAACATCCTCCCCTTCCTCCTTCTTCCCCCAGCTTTATATGCTGACCTTGACGTCATGTGGTATGGAATATCCCTTTGGCCGGCTGGGGTCAGCTGTCCTGGCTGTGTCCCCTCCCAAGTCCTTGTGCACACCCAGCCTACATCGTGCTGGGGTGGTGTGAGGAGCAGAAAAGGCCCTGACTCTCTGTAAGCGCTGCTTAGCAATAACGAAAATATCCCTGTATCATCAACACTGTTTTCGGCACAAATCCAAAACACAGCCCCGTACTGGCTACTATGAAGAAAATCAGCTCTATCCCAGCCAAAACCAGCAAAGGTATACAGTGATTTATGCAGTGGAGAATGCTGAGTGTATGCTAGAGTACTCTTAGTAGTACTGAATGAGGATAGCCTTTTTTGTTTTTAAAAAAGAAAAGATCTAGCATGGTATGTGTTAATCCCAAAACCATAAAGCTTTACTTGTGTGGGGAGTGGAGGTGAGTGTGTCTACACTGTGTTCTCTGATCCTTGGGAAACGAGACAAAGAAAAGCTGAAGTAAGCTTTTCAAAACCTGCTTTTATGGTGGTGATAAGTGAAGCTCCTTTTAGCAACCATCCTTAATTTATCTGCACGCATCTGCAACCTCAACAGTAGTATTAAGAACACCATTGACAGCATAAGAAAGTAAAGCTGTTTTAAAAACTGCCAGTGTTTTTTGACAAATGGGGCCCTTCAGTGACAAATCTTGGAAATCTATTTTTAATTATTTCAGTTAAGCTGTAGGTTCTCAAGTAGTCTAGCAAAAAATCAGTTCAAAAGAGTGATGGAACCAGTGTCTGGAAGCTAAAGCGAGATAGTTCCAGCTACCGCTAAAGGTGTACGTTCAGAATGCTAATTCTCACAGTGGTTAATGATTTGCCAGTCAGGTGAGGTGGTGCATTGTATTTTTCCCCGAAATATTCATGGCCCAACTGAACAATTTTGAGAAAGGTAGCTTTTGGTCAGTACAGAGATAATTTCTTAAATACTTTGATTTTCACAGAAGGTTACATAAGGTCAGAAGCATCCAGTGTTCTCCCCTGTGTGATTTAACAAAAAACCCCAACCCTAACACACCCTGTATTTGGGTATGACATCTGGAGACATACATTTAAAAAACATCTCAAAACTTGTAATGCAGATAAGAATGTGCTATCTTGGATAGTCATGTTAACTGGCTGCATATAAAGATTCAACTAACCTACGCTGTTCTGTTTTGTAAATTAGTATGGTGAAACTAATGAAAATAGAAGACTAATTACATAGTTGTGCTGGAAACCAAGTACTGAATTTTTTTGTTGTTACTTTTTGGTTTTTGTGCCTAGGATCGAGCACACAGAATTGGCCAAACAAAGACGGTGCGAGTGTTCAGGTTTATCACAGACAATACAGTGGAAGAGAGAATAGTGGAACGTGCAGAAATGAAACTCCGGCTAGATTCCATAGTCATTCAGCAAGGCAAGTATATGAAGGCAATTTGTTTGCACTTACGATGCGAGTCTCTTCTTTTTTTTGCCACTTGTAAACTATGGCAAAATCAGCTAGTAAGAATTAATGGGAATGGTGCTTTTGCCTCAGCTGAACTCTGAAGATAGAGCGCAAGGGCCTGATCCACTCGAAAATTCATTTTACTGTAGGGGTAGGCTTTTCCTCGCTACATTTTTGATTGCCTCCCTAGTGAGGTGTATGCACAAGTGGATATAGTCAGATTTTTCACTTTTTTTTAAAGCACTCAGATTCTCCTTTGAACGGGAGAAATTAATGCCTTGCCTTTTTTTAATAGACAGGGAGAAGTGGTGATGGTGTAAGCTTCTTGGTTTACTTGATTGGAATTGGGAACTTTATGTTTGAAAAAAGGATTCAATAAGGTTTAGTCTGGAAATTGTGAAAACAGGCACCATAAAAAAGCTTATGTGGAAGACCTTGCATTCAAAATGATGTTGTTAGAACACAATTAATGTATAATAAAGTAAACGCTTGTGATCCCTGTCTGGATTTTGCTGGCGTTTGGTTTGTTGGGGTTTTTTTTTTTTTCCTTCATTTGGCATTTCCTTTACTGAGAGAAGAGGATATAGCTTTAACTTGGAAATGCAAGGGAGGGAAAAATCATGTATTGCTTCTCCTGTAATGTAAACTCCTTCAGCTAGCTGCTACCTCCAATGCTTTTGTCTTCAGGAAGACTGGTGGATCAAAACCTGAATAAACTTGGGAAGGATGAAATGCTGCAAATGATTAGACACGGAGCGACACATGTGTTTGCCTCAAAGGAGAGTGAGATTACAGATGAAGATATTGATCACATTTTGGAAAGAGGTGCAAAGAAGGTGAGATAAAGTGTAAAAAAACAGAAGCCTGCCTGCAGACTTGACGTTGATGGCAAGATAGTATATCCCTAGATGATAACTTGATTGTAAGCTGGAGAGAATAGGGTTTTTGCAGTTGAGGGTTTTAATATTGGCTCAATGTGTGTGTTTTTTCTATTGTTGTGAGTGAGTAAGTGAGGTGTTTTAGAATGAATTACCTTTGAACACTGCTGATGTTCTTTTCTCTCTCCTCCCAAGACTGCAGAAATGAATGAAAAACTTTCAAAGATGGGTGAAAGCTCACTCAGGAATTTCACAATGGATACAGAGTCCAGTGTGTATAATTTTGAAGGGGAAGACTACAGAGAAAAACAGAAGGTAACGCTTAAATTTCTTTTGGAGGAAGGCACCAAGTTGTATGATTGAACTGTATTTCTTGACGAAGTGTTGGTTAAAATACAATATAATGTATGAAAACAGTTTTTATAAGTCTTATACTTATTTAATGAAGTAGATGTAGACCTAGTGTTATATAAAACTTGCAGCTGGTCTGAATATTTTGCCAGGCTTCGTCTTAATATTTTTTTGGGGTGGTGGGATTTGTTTTTATAGATGGCATTTACAGAGTGGATTGAACCACCTAAACGAGAAAGAAAAGCCAATTATGCGGTGGATGCTTACTTCAGAGAGGCTCTTCGAGTCAGCGAGCCAAAAGCACCCAAGGTGAGTTGGACTAAATGAAAAAACTAAATTGTTCAGGTATGCATGATAAATGGCTAAAGCTCAAAGCGAGAAATTGGTCTGTATTCATAAAAACTGCTCCAGTTGCTCCTATAAATTGAGGCGGCGATGTAAATTTAGAAAAATCCGAAGGACTTGAGACAGCTTCTGTGAGAAAAAAGTAAGAAAGAGCAGGGTGAAACATGTAAGATGGGCAGAGGGTAAGACCAAAGTATTTCTTGTTGTTTTTTTTACTTAAGCAGCTGTGGATTTTCCCTGCTGCTGCTCAAAACACCTGAGCTTTGTTCAAGCAGGGGGCTGCATGTGGGCCTCTTTCCCAGCTGCAGCCTCCTCCCAAAGGACCCTCTCCCCTTTTCTCACGGGACTTTTAACTTTTAGAATTCTTCATGGTTGTAGCTGTCTCTTGCATAGTGTGGCGTTTTTTTGGTTGTTTTTTTAGTAAAGACAGTGCATTTTTGTAAAAAAGTAGCTTGCTTTTTTTAAAACTGAAGTCTGTTACTACAAGCAAACAGATTCTGGATGCGAAGGGCAGTCAATGCAAACTTTGTATGTATGTATTTCAGGCACCCCGGCCTCCAAAACAGCCAAATGTACAGGACTTCCAGTTCTTTCCTCCACGCCTGTTTGAGCTATTGGAAAAAGAGATTCTCTACTACAGAAAAACGATTGGGTACAAGGTAACGGAAGAATTCACACATTGCCACAGTTTACTGCAACATTAGGAAAATACGTACTTGTCCTGCCCTTCACACTAATACAAATGAAGGAAAATGAGGTTGAGCTGAACAAATGATTGGGTTACATTAACAGCAAAGTGACAATTAACAATTACCTGTGAAAAATTAATCAGGTTTTGCATTTTGTAAAATTTTTCAGGTACCTCGTAATCCTGATCTCCCCAATGCAGCCCAGGCACAAAAGGAGGAGCAGCTTAAGATTGATGAGGCTGAACCTCTTAATGATGAAGAACTAGAAGAAAAAGAGAAGCTTCTAACGCAGGTATAGTTGGGTCTTTCTTTAGAAAGCTGAAGCTTGCTTTGTGTTTTACAGCACTAGAGGGGAACATTTCTTGGTCATCGGTTCATACTGAAAAGAGGTTTAGCGTTAGGTTTGTCGTGGGCCTGGAGACCTTTGAAGAACATGCACCAAAGTAGCGTATTCTACTGAATCTGATCTGTGTTCTGTGTATTTTAAGCCTGAAGAGTAAGTAAGAGTAAGACACCTGCTTAGTTCTAGCCTAGCGTCAGTCTGGCTTCCCAAGTTTGCGTTGACTGTAGACTCTGACGTCTTTGCTCAGCTGTGGGACCTTGCAGACTGGCTGCAGTGCTTGAACGTGCTTCTTGCCACATTGGCAGAAGATTGGCTTTGAATAAATAAAGTAAAGTACCACTCCTGCGTGGTCAGTCTTCCTAAGCTCTCTTTAAGAGGTTATAAGCTGAATAGGGATGTAATTAGGTAGCATGTACATTTAAATAATTTAAACCAGGTTAATTAATGCCTGTTGCGCCTTATTTGGGTGTTACATTTTCATGTCTTATTTTGCGGGGAGCAATTACGGGACGAGGTCTCTTGTTTGAGTAGTGCACTATGAAGAACAGTACGCTCAAGTAAGCTGTGGCTAAGTCATAATGTGGCTGGCAGAATGCTTTACTCTTTGTAAAAGTTAAGTTAAATTAGTTACTGCTGCTGTGAAATCAGCCCATTTGGGCAGCTGCTAATTTCAGCATTACCATTCTTGTCCCTGCGGAACAGCATCATGCCTCCTGAGGGAGAGGGACCGGGGGAAGTGGCTGATGGTGTTTGAGAGGCACTTGGGGAGCCTTTTTGACAAAACAAAACCATCACAGAGACTGTTGCTTCACTTACTTGGGGGTTTTTCTCCTTCTTAAAAAGCGATCCCATGTTCTCTTTCAGAGAATAGTGGTAGGAGGGATTCATTGAGGAGCCTGAAGGACTCCTCTATGCAAAAAACTAGGGGGTACGTAATTCTTAGAGAACCAGTGCTAATCAATCATCAGCATTCTGCAGCATGTAGATGGAGTGACTGCAGTAGAGCAAGAGTTTTTCCACAAACATTAAACTGCAGAGAAAGCAGCAGAGGTTTAATACTGTTGGAATGATTGACGTGGTACAGGCCATTTAAAGAAATCTGTTGATACACATTTGGCGAGAGACAAATACTGAACTTCTGTGCAATGTTTCCTTTTGGTTACTATAAAGGGATTCACTAACTGGAATAAGAGAGATTTTAACCAGTTCATCAAAGCCAATGAGAAGTGGGGCCGGGATGACATTGAAAACATAGCACGAGAAGTAGAAGGCAAAACCCCAGAGGAAGTCATTGAGTATTCAGGTAACTAACTTACAGTGGAAGTAGTCAACGCCGTGGGTCGGCACCTAATGCTGCTTTCTTCGTTTGAACTGCCTGTGAACCTCTTGAAGACTTTCTGGGTAGAATTGTACCGATGGATTTATTTGGGATCTACTGGTCTAGATTTTACCATGTTTAGCCCCTGCATAATTAAAAGCTGTACTAAAATGTGCGTGTAAACTGTTACCGACCCACTTTAATAGATCCTAAATGTGCTCTAACTGCATAGTGCTGTATTTAATTCTTCTTAATTTTTGCAAACAAAAAGCTGAGAAA